GAAAGGGGAAAGCCAGCTCTATTCTGTGCATCTAGGGGGAGTCACTATTAATACCTTTTCTCTACCAGCAGTAATCTTCCTCCAGCCTATGATCAACTGTTCATGTGGTCATTCCATAAACAGCCCTGGCACAACAACCCAACAAGTGCACTACTGTAGTCTGTAGCAGTGGTGGTGACATATAACACACATGCCTCAGTGGGCTGTTTGTTATCTTTGAAAGCTCCAAATGGTCTCTAAGGACAGAGAGAGATGAATCCCAATACCTACCCTCAAGGGATTTGCAGATGGCTGAGGAAAATTTAAAGACAAATGAGTAGTCAGAACCCAGAAGGACAGTAAGTACAGGGAGCTATGAGGATGCAGCAGGGGCCCCCAATCCTTTTGGAAGAGGATATTAGCAGGGGGTACCTCAAGATTTCCTACAAGAAACGAGTTGAATTTTAACAGGGAATGGAGGTTTGCCATTTGAAGGGTAGAGGGGGGATGTTTGAGGCATGAGATCTCCAAATTCCTCATCTATGAGTGAAGGATGTCAACTAGATTGCTCTTAACATGGCTTCGGGAGGAGAGGAGTGGGAAAGAGGAGACAAGAGGCTTCCCTAGAATCAGGCAGCTTGTGGGTCCCTCCTCATCCCTGCAGACGTGAGTGATCAAGGTCCTCTCGGAGCTGCTGTGTTGTAAGAACAGGTTTTGAAACAAAAGATAAGACTTGATTGTGACACGGTTAGGGTATTTAGAACAACTGTTCCAGTGGTTTTGAAGGACTGGCTGCAAAGCAATGGCCACAAGACGGTCAGATGGGGGCACTGCTGAGCACGTGACTAAGACAGCATCAGAGGCAGCTGTGAGGCCGAGTTAGATGAGAAGGCTCCTTACAAAGAGAGACTGGATGACCTGATAGAGAAAACAGAGAGGAGGGGAAGTAAAAAATAACCCCAGGACCCATGGGAAAATCTCAGCGATTTCTCATCAGGAATTTAATGAATGCTTCCCTCATGTGAGCAGTATAAATGATTCTCATTCTTCTCAGGAGGAAACTTGCAATCAAGCAGGGGACTCAAGACATGGTAACTTCATGCATCTTCCAGCTTTGTTTCTGGTTTGCAGTTGTTCTGCTGTTAATTCAGAAAGGAAGAGAGACTAGCCCAGTGAAGCCGAACCTTTTAGAGACGAATGCCCAAACTGCAGCCTCAAACCCATTTATGTATTGCAAAGTGCTTACACTGCAATTAAACCTGAGTACTGAGGGTTAAGTTTAGAAAAAACAACACAAACATTAACATCTTCTTTCTTAAAAGAAAAACAAACCACACTCACACTACAGGTTCGCCGCCACTGGACTAGGCCCAGGGGTGACTGTGACGACTGAAGCTCTCGGAAGGCTGAAGCTCTCGGAAGGCAGGGGAGCACTACCGGAATGTCAACCTTCTCAGCCATGACAGAAGGGAGCACAAGGCAACAAGACTCATCAGCAGTTAAATGATACCCAGTGGAAACTTTGAAAGGGAATGTACCCTTTTCCCCAGGATGTCTACTCTTTGGAATTTAGAGTAAGAAAAAAGTAACTAAGATATACAAGAATGAATTCAAAGACTTATTTCAAGGATGCTCACTGCAAAGTTGTTTATCATTGTGAAAAGCTGGAAACAATGATCACATACAGAAATAGTTTCTGGTCTTAGAGGATCATGGCTGGGCCCGGCTCTGTAGCTGAGTAATCTCCACAGAGAGAGAGACACAGGACAGAGACATCCCAAGGACCCAGAAAGGCTCTTGAAGCCATGTGCTGATACCATGCTCTTTCTGAACAGAGAATGGGTGCTCCATGAAACTGTAGATCTCAAGAAAAGTATCATCCCCTCTCTTTCTCCTACCTCCCAGGCATTGCTAAACTGAGTGCTTCCTGCTGGAGCAAGTAAGCATCTGTCTGGACTCCTCTTAAGACACCACCTCCCATTCCCAGAAGGCTTTACTCCATGTCTGAAGCTCAGAGATGGGCTGAGTCACACTATGCAAATAGCATGGGGGGCGTAAAGGAGGGGTCACAAAACTTCAGCTCCTATCTTTCTTGAATTTTTATTTATTGAGTATGTACTGGCTTCCATTTCCTATGCTAAGCCACCAAGAAGCCGTGCTAAGTGAGACGTAGTCCTTGTGGCATGTGGCAGGCACTGAAACTTGCTGATCCAATAGCCTTCAACCTCTGCCTTTCTAACCAAACCCTGATTGCATTCTGGATTTCAGTATATTCATCTGCACAAATCTGGCTCCCAGTCTCTCTGTCTCTAAGGATATTCCTATGATACCATTTTGACTGAGGAAAGACAAGTGGAAGTCACTAGGTGCCTCTCTCAGGAAAACTCTAGAAAGGAGCAGCTTGGTGAATGACTGCCTCATTACCAGTCACACCCACTGATTTCCAGCCTGGAAGCTGGGTATACGGGAAAGGAGCAGCCACTTTACGATCACTGGTGATAAGCATGGGAAAAACAGCCACGGGATGAAGGTGGCTGAGCAGAAATCTTGAAGGAAACTGGGTCCCTAATGATATTATAGTTGTAGTGCCCTTGGCTACATGTAACATTTTTTCAATTAGCCCTTGATTTGTCTAAGATATTGACTGCTTGGGCTTCTGGTTACTGGAAGCTGAACACAATCCTAACTGCTACCTGACTCCATGGCCCTTTTTACCAAATGATGTGACCCTGTGTAATGGGCAGTTATATGGACCCACACGAGGTGACCCAACGTGCACAGTGGCAATCTGCTGTGCTGGGAGGGCACTGCTGGGGAAGCCACCAGTCAGGAGGGATTTGGCCACTTGAGTTGGGGGATAGAGGAGATGTCCAACAGTCATGGAAGAATAGTTATGGCTTTCCAGGTGGGTGGAACACATGTATGAGGTAAAAGAGGTGAAAGAACACGGCATGCTCCGGGAGCTGGGATGACTTCATTCGCCCGAGAAGGGGATGCATGTGGATGAGTGAGGGGCAATGGAGGACAGGGTAGGTGCCAGCTCATGAGATGACTCATGGGGCTTTGGGCAAGTCCCTGGACCTGTTCACCTACACTTCCTCAGCTCTTAAGGAGGTCACTGAGCGGGAGACGTAGCTGTGGATGGGGGCTGCCTGCAGGGGTCCCTTGGGGCTCCCTGGCCAGCAGTTCCACTCCTCTGTGGAAGTTTCCACGGGAAGTGCCATCTCACCAGCCTCCAGCCCTCAGTTTCACACTGCATAGTGTACTCCGAGGGCTGCGCTGCTGCTGGCATTTCAGTTTGAACGCTAAGTGGTGACTCAGAACCAACAGAAGTGTGGACAACTGTTTACTAAGAAGGCAGCCTTTGCTGTGACAAATCAGAGTGGGCTGATGGATTGTGCAGTGCTCATGAGCTGGGCAGCTTGGAAATAGCACATACCATTGCACTGGGCAACTGATTCATTGCTTGTTCTGTCTTGCCAGCCAGGGAATCACATGCCCACCCAGTCAGACCCAAATTCTTCCAAGCCAGGGAAAGTGGTTTTCTTCCTGGACTGTGCTCTCGAGTATACTGGATGCTGCCCTTCACCCCCTGCTCCTACTGACTGCATTATGTGTGGATGCAGCACTTTCTTAAAACCATCCGTACTTTAAGTTAGTTAACCTCTTGGAGTCCAAAGACCACAGTCTGTAGAAAGGATCTATAGGTGAAGAGTTATAAATGATCTTGCAGACAATTCAGTATTGTTTTTTCTTAGAATGTTAGAAACCAGCAAAAATAAATTAGTATCTGCTAGGTACCAGGAAGCAAGGGGCTAGATACTGTAGAAGACATAGATGAGTAGATGCTTTGTGGCCCTAAGCTCAGCCTGACACCAGAGAACAGCCTGAGCTTGCGCCCTAGCCTCGGAGGCCAGCTGAACTGCATGATGGAAAGATTGGGATTTGGCCCTGGGCTCGCATACCGACAGCAGGTGCAACCTGGACTGATTCTGCATCTGGACTTTTCCCAGCATTGCTTCTTCACCCACAGTGGGGTTGGTAGTAACCGGGGATGTGCTCACCAGAGATAACATATGTCTGTGGTAGCTACAGTGTGTAGTAGAGAGCAATCGCCTGATAAATGATGGCTATTCTTATCATTGTCAAAGAAAGAGTTAAAGAATTCAAAGCAATTACAAAAGAAGTTTTGAATGGTAGTGCAAGAGAATTGCTGAATTGGTGGCTTCAAGTGTCAGGAACTTCCCTGCCTACACAACGTTCCTGTGATTCTCACATCAGACCTGGGTGGAATAGCTCCATTTGCAGATGAGAAAACTGAGGGCGGAGAGGCTTAGAAACCTTTAGTAAAAGACAGAGCCAAATTTGACCCCTGTGTGCTTTCTGAAGAGCAACAGCTTCCTGCCAAGAGCCTGAAGGCTTTAGCTCAGAAAAGTGACAATCAAGGAGCTGAGGAGGGCTGGGAAGACTTCAGAGCAGGAGATGGCTGTGAACCCATCAACAGCTCAGCACTAATCATAAAGCACTGGAGAAGAATGACCTGAGACTGACGGCCCTTGGGGAGTCCTGTGGAGAGGGAGATGAAGGGCTCAGAAGGGAGGAAGGCAGGGAGGTCATGGCAGGAGCAGGACCTGTATCACACTCCTTGCCTTGAATGAATCTGACTTGACCTCGCCCACATGGGCAGCCTAAAGAATGACCACCCTTCTGCCTCCAGCATCCTTCTGTACATTTCCATGTGCTTTTTCCACACCTTTTTTTTTTTCCGGCTTGCTCTGGTTTCTTGACTGCCCTATTCTGCCCTTTACCCCCTGGTATCAGCTTGCCTCTAGTTCTCAAAAGGCCGTCCCAGTCCATCCTCTAGGCCAATATCTTGTTCTAAGTACCAAGTCTGTAAGTAAGAGGCCCCCGAGATGGCATGCTCCCAAAAGCCCCCATGGCAACCAGCTGACTGAGCTGGCCTCCACTCACCCTCACAGGAAAAAGCAGTTCAACAAAGGGAATGACCAGGATGTGTTGAGAATAATGGAAACTGCATGCTGGAGTGACAACTGCCTGGATTTGCCTATTGATTTACCCTCTCCCTCTCCTGTCTGTCCCTCTCTGTCTCTTCAATTGCCAATGTGTGTGTGTGTGTGTAAGTAGAGCTTTAACTAGAGGGCAGACAAGAACTCAGAGAGAAAGGTGGTGACAGCTGACAGCCAGGTGCATCCATAGCTTGCGGGTTCTGATATAAACACATAGTCTCTCCTCACCTCCACCCCCAGGCCTGCCAGGGACCACTGGTCAATGTCTATGGAGCAAATTCATGGCCCAGTCTGGCTCTTCCGGTCTTCTCTGTGTCCCACACTGTTCGAGTCCAGTGCTATTGTTCCTGTCTAGTGTTGTTCTGGTTTCAGGGTCCTTGTTACCATTTGAAGTCATTAGATTCAGGCTCTGCTGGATTATCTCTCAGATATCCAATACTGCTTTGACATTTAGATGGTTCTCCAAATATATTTCAAGAGACACTGGGTGCTAGTCTATTACTTACCCTACAAATGGCTTCTTTCTCTAAGAAAATGCCCTATGTCTTACTTCTAGCTGTACTGCCTGCAGTATTTGGAGAGCTATAGCTTCACCTTTTGGCCAAAAGAGTCCCTTCCGCATCTGGAATCTGGATCCTCATTGGAGCACAGTGAATCTTCCTGCTTCATTCCCTGGCACAAAAGAGAACCTATATGAATGTTCCCACCAGAGAAAGGAACATTTTAACCATTCCAGGGCCAGTAGAACCTTCTTTAAAGAATTCCACATGTATACCTGGCAACATTTCCATATAACCTGGGGCAGCACACAAAATGATTACTGAATGTACTCAGTCAAGTTCAAACTTAAGTTTGATTATAAGAGAACAAATGTTGAATTAATAGATAGTCTGGACTAGAAGTCCTATTCCTGTTCCATTATTCTTGGCCTCTCCCTAACACACACACTCACACATGAGCATATTAATTTTTCTTCTGTCCTGGGAGTGGGACGATAAGGTTTGAGAGGCTGCTGTGTAGCTTTCCCAGACTGTGAGTGCCTAGATCTAGGCCCTGAGCCATCATACCCTGCTGTCCTGGGGAGCCGTTTCAGAACTCTAGCCCCAGACCCTTCCATATAGCATAACCCTGCAGTGAGGAGAATGAAGTGGCCCCAGGGGAAGCCGCTTGGCATTCTGAGTATGGCTAAATAAAGTCTGTGCTGGAAAAAAAGGGAACGTCATCCACAGAAAGACAATGGGTGAGACCTCTGAGTGTCTCCTTCCTGTGTCCAAACTTGTAAAACTTTTTTTTCTTTCTTCCTTCTGGAGTTACTTAAATGCACTTCATTTTCCAAGTAGGCAGGCCCAGAGGACTCTTTTATTGGACCTGATTATTATGTTGCCAGGACCCTGAGCAGCCAGGGCAAAGGGTTAGATTTTGTCTGGCAGAGTCTTAATGATGTGCTGCCAGTAGTGCAGTCTCTTGCATGCATGGGGAGCTGGGAGCCTCACTTCAGGGTGAACCTGTCAGTGGGTCAGTCTTCATTCCGGAACACTGACACTTTCTTGCTTGCAGCTGACACAAAACCTAAAGCACCATCCATTCCAGCTGGTGGCTTCAGTTGAAGTTCACCTAACTCCAGGAAGTCATGTGGGTGAGAGGCATCTTCACAACCCACAGAAGCCCACTTAACTGCTAGAGAAACCAGGTGGCTTATTATGCTGGCTTCTGCCAATTCCCCATGAAGAAATCAATCTCTTTTCTCCTACCAGAAAGTACCTCTTAGTTTCGGGTCTTCTACATCCATGCTTTCTTTTCTCCCTCCCCTTAATTTCGGCATCATTTTCCATTTCCGAGGACGTAAGAACCACAGTACACTGTCACGGTGCCAAATCATTCCCAGACAGCCACAATCTCGGGAGGTCAGTCCTTCCGGAGAACTCATGGACAATACCAATGTTACCTCACCGCAGCTGGCACTGAGTGCTTACCGACGGCAGGTACGTATACTCTATTTGCGTTATCGCATTTACTTCTCCTATTTGAATTCTCATGAGTCCTCTAAGTAAAGTTGCTGCATGAGACTGAGAAAGGTCACATGGCCAATAATTGATGGATTTGGAGCTCTAGCTCCTGGTTTCTCTGATTGTGGTTTCTGAGCTCCTGTTCTCATATCACTTTTACAGTTAAGGCAACTGAAGGTACATTACTTGCCCAATAATGAGGTCATAATTAGGCTCCCGGGCAGTGGTTCTAAGCCTTGACTACTCATTAGAATTACCTAAAGAGTTAAAACAGAAAAAGAAAGAAAGAAAGAAAGAAAGAAAGAAAGAAAGAAAGAAAGAAAGAAAGAAAGAAAGAAAGAAAGAATAGCCAGTTCTCCAACTATGTCCTTAATGATTTTCATTTAATTGATCTGGGAGAGGCCCAAACATTAGTATTTTTAGGAATCCTCCAGGGGATTCTAAAAATGCAGCCAGATTTGAGAATCTGACAAATCTAACAACCCCCAGTCTAAAGCTTAACTAAACAAAATGTTTGACATTTTCTCATACTTCCGCAGGAAGCGATAGGACAGACAGCTGGGTTCTCCCCCCACACTCCAGGGAGAGCTGGGAAAGTCTGCACACCTGTACAGTGGGGAGAATGAGATCACACAGGAATGCTGGTTCCATCTGGGCATGTACAATGCTTATTCTAGGACAAAGTGCTGGGAGAATCGTTGCCGTGGTGAAGACAGTTGTCAGAGTTAACAGGGTGGAGGTTTTATGGACTTATTCCAAACTTTAGAATCCAGGGCCAGAACCTCACAATCAGCCACAGGCACCTGGAACAGGTTTTGTCAAACATCAGCTCCGTGAAGTCAGTTTTGGACACCCCACACTCGCACGCTCCAGCATCTTCACACCTACGTAGGCACTCAGGAAGAGGTGCCTCAGCACCACGCTGTGTGGATAAGCCGTGATGAGAGATAGGCGAGGCCTCCTGGGGTTATCAGTGCAAAGCATCACAGTTTGCACAGTCAGTCTGAGTGAGCAGAGGTTCATGGCAAGACTGCCCCCAACTCGGAGGAAATGCAGAGAGGAATCTCTTACTACGCGCTTGCCTAATCATTTCCACTTAACACACAGTGAAAGCAGAACTTTGTGACACACTTGCCCTGTCTGGGCTAAAGTTCTGCTTTTTCTGGAAGATCTTGGAAAAAGAAAAAGAAAAAAAAAAAATCATAAAAACCAAAAAAAAAAAACAACCCAAAACTTGGCCTTGAGGGAGTGAGAGCTTTTCAACGTTTCATTCATTTAAGTAGCATCTATGATCAGCTTCTTCCTCTGGGTGCAGTGTATTCATGTGCCTGGTACTGTCCTAGAGACAAGATCTGAGCACTCTCAAACTATCAAGATGCTTCTGAGAGACGGCAAATTGCCACTCCCCTGACCACCCCCACCTGTCCCCACAACTACCTTGAAAATGCAGCATCTAAAGGATCAGTCCTTGACACACTGAGGTCCAGGGCAGTGCTCTGATCCCACCCCAGATTTCTGATGGGTCAGGTGTGGTATAAACATTCTGGACTCTGTCCCTGGCTCTAGGGCATCAGCAGCTCTAGAGTGGTAATAGAAGTCTTAGGGGCCCTCATTTACTTACAAGGTAAGATGGAAGATCTGTCTTTGAGCTCATAAGCAGAACAAGTTCATGAGTTGTACTTAAATTGTTTATTTGGGATTACTTAGTGGAGCTGATAGTTATTTTTAGGGGTTAAAGTCTTTACCTACACAAACAACTTCCTGGCAATGTTTCTACTCTAAATTTGAAAGTTTAGGATGCCTGTATTTCCAGGAAGGCCCTCCCATGAAGGAAAAATAAATTCAATACACAGAAATCCAAACAAATGCACTAAGAAAATACCATTTAGAAGGGCTGATGTAGGATTCCTCCCTGACTGGGAAACTTACCAGGAATGCATTTGTTGACAAAATAGGATATAGCCTCATAGTTTGCTCATGTGAAAGCAGTTCTGATGATTGCCCTTAAAAGATAGTGTGTTCTCCCAGGAAAAACCTGGACAGCTAATACTGCCCAGAGCAGTGCCCAAGGAATGACTGTCTAACAGTGACCTACCTCTGGCTCTGCCCCTCCTCCATTCAGGGTTACATGGCACATGTCCTCAGCTGTGTTTCCTGCCTTCCAGTTGGATTTGACCAACTGTTCGTACTGGTAGGTCACTGGTGAATGGGAGCAAGGGAAAGCCTCAGATTTCTCCGCCTACCTCCCTGCCTCAGCAATGCGCTAGGTTGCAGCCTGTACCTCCGCAGGTCCAGTTCCAACAGCACAGACCAGTGGGCTTCCAGATTCTACCAGGAGAGTGGCTCTGACTCAAGCTACTGCACCTCCTCCTCATCTTCCCCTCTAGCCTGGGAGTCGTATAGCTTTGGTAATCTTGGGTTGCTTCCTGGCCCCTACGGGCTTTACTCCACCTCCATCACCTGCACATCCAGGTCCCCGCATTAAATTTTGTCTGTTTCAAACATTCTGTATGGGATCTGTTTTCCCAGTTGTGCCGTGATTAATATGTATGTGAACTGTGTGCTCTTTAGAGAGGGTCATCTCTCCCTTTGCCTCAGGTTCCTCATCTGTGAATGAGATTGGATGATGTGTTTATGAGCTTGATTTCAGCTTCACGCTGTCTAAGGATGTGGTGACCTGCATAAGGTGAACTTCCAAAAACTGCAATGCACTTCACACTTCAGGATGTCCTGTAAGCAAGTATTTCATTTATTTTCTCAAAGTAGTTTTCATTTTGAACTATAACCTCAAATCCTTTTGTTGGAAACAGGCAAGATGTAGATAATAAATAAACTGTTTCTAAATGCTATTTAAAACGCAATAAATGTGTTCTTACTCATTTAATAATTTATCACTTCCTTATCTGCTCTTTAATTAAGTGCTGTAGATTTAAATGGTTTCCCTCTGGGTTAATATTCTGATGTTTGGTGATGAGTACTATTTGTAGGTCTATTTCTTACTCTCCTTGTGGTTACTGATGATTGATCTGTTGGCTCGTTGGTTGGTGTTTGGCCACTATATTCTTGGGTTGAAAGGTTTTCAGCATTTAGCTCCTCTACAGTTCTCCACCTATATCCTTGACCCTTTTAGCTATCTTTCTCTTCCTCCTTGAATATCCTTGGCTGTCTTCCATAGCTGTTATCAGTGAAGTCAGAAGACAGGCATGGCCATGTGGTTTAGGAGGAGAGTTGTTTTGTTGGCTCCCCATTTTCCTTCTCCAAAAAAAATTTTACATAATATTTCACCCATCTCCTCCCTATTCAACCCCATTCCCCAGGCAGAGACCCTAGAGGGGTATAACGTGACACTGGCTGAGCAGTTCTGGTGGCAACTCCTACATACTTCTCCAGCCGCCTCCCAAGCTGGTAGGCCACTAGAGAACTGGCAGCCAGTGTCGTTCATAGTTGGATCCATATCAGGAGTGAGGGCTGGGGATTTAGCTCAGCGGCACAGTGCCTGCCTGTAAAGCGCAAGGTTGTGAGTTCGATTCCCGGAACCGGAAAAAAAAAAAAACACACACACAAAAAAGAAACCGTCCATATCAGGATTGATTCAGCAGGCAGTGACACATCAGTTTCCTAGAAATGGACGTCGGGAGAAAGAACAGAGCTGGCTGACCATGTGGC